GGGTGGGGTCCCGCTGGGCTAGGTGAAGGTCAATGTTGATGGGGGACTGGGCTGGGCCCCACAAGCCAAGGCCATCTCCATCCAGTGAGTGGGGCCTGAGGGAACAAAGCCAGGGATCTGTGGGGGAGCAGGGAGGCAATTTGGGGGTACACAGAGGAAGGCGGTGCTCCTTCCCACACATACAGAGAACTGCCCAGCCTCAGGAAGCTCGTGCCTCCCTCCCACACACACCTAGACAGGTCACAACTGCCGCACACACCCTGACCTGGCCAGACCACAATGTTTGCAACACTCTCACACAGGGCGGCACCACCTGGGCTGGGCCATACTCTGACAGTCGCCTGCAGGTAGCCTGTCCCACAGGGAATGGGGGTAGAACGGTCTCCTGGCACAAGGGTCCCAAGCTGGTCCCACACTGGGCACCTGTACCACCTGCTCACACATGGGCTGGCCACATTGGCTTACAGGCCCCAGCGATACGAACAGCTTGGCACATGTAGCAGGACTGGAGATCACACCAGCAGCAGACCCAGACACTCATGCAGGGGGACGGTCACACACATGCCGCCTGGTGCCTAGCCAGCCGCTGTGACCCAGGACTCCAGACAGAAACCTGCAGAGACCACAGCAGCTCAGCATGCACATGGCTTTTGGGTCATACTAGCACCAGACTGTCTAGCGGTCGCAGGACAAAGACATCCCACACAGCCTCACACGACACTCTGTCCTCACCACACTTCGGGTCCTGGGAGTCGTAGCACCAGGTGCCTGCAGACAGCGGACAGGGGACTGAGACGGAGCACAGGCATCTGGGTCCTCTCCAAGCTCCAGCCCAGCCAGGGTCCAGGAATGGGGGCACAGGCCTTAGGCCAGAGGAGGCTAGGACAGACCCTGCTCTTCTGTCCCAGACCCCAACATCTCCTTCCCCAAGTGGCAGGGTTTAACCAGGAGAAGGGGGAGCTATGAGGGAGCGTAGATTCCAGAACGGACGGGCAGGGTCCAGGTGTTCACCCTCTGTGTCCCCACACACCACCAGTGGCGCAGTGAGGAAGGCGAGTGCAAAGCCCGGGGACATGCTGCCACAGCCACTGACTCCAGAGGGCTGGAAAGTGCCAGAGGACAGTGGGCAGGCGAGGAGGCTGTTTGTTAGCGGGGCGGGCTAGGGGCATGGCTAAGTTTTGTGGGCTCCCTGGCCGGCCCCTGCAGAGAGGCTCTGAGCAGGTGGTGTCCAGGCCGGGCCACCGGCAGGGAAGACAGAGGTCTGAGATCACCAGGCACAGGCCGTGATGCCAGAGCTGTGGCTGTGTGCCAGCAGCAATCGCTGGCACTCACTGGAGCAAAGCGCTTTAAGGGGATTCTCTCAATTCCCGGGGGTGGCGCTACGATGCCCATTTAAAGATGAGGAAATGGAGGCAGGGGGCCAGGAGTGACATGCCAAGACCACCAAGCAAGGACAGAAGGTCAAAGGGGAGGGCAGCTTGAATCCCAGTGCTCTTGGCTTTTGAGGCTGGGGTGGTAGGGTGTCCTTCCCCCCTTTTGTGGGTCTGGGACCACTCCCTGCCCCAAGACCATAGCCTCTCTTGTACAGGTGTCCCCCCTGCACACCTGGGGCGAGCCT